ATTACTGTTCTATTGAGCCCTAAACGACGATGATTGAGCGAGAAATGAGCAAACGCGAGACGATATTGACGGAGGGAGTGTTGGTGGGGATGACACACTGAGGTAAAATGCTTTGATCTAGACCATTTCCCGGCCGTTTTGCTTCAAACCTGGATGGCGCTGGGTAGGGCCAATGCGGCCGGTCCGATAGAGCCAACAACGATGGAAATCGAGCCGGTATTGAGCGAATGCGAGCAAATATTCGAAAGAGGGTTGAGGGATAAAACATACCGAACCAAAGCCGCTCTATCTCCCTCATTACCGGGTCAATTCACATCACGCCTTGTGTGCTGCAGGCATACGTAACCGTTCCCGTCACTTTGAGCCTATAGAAAGCCAAATCGAACCGCAAATGAGCAAACACGAACGAAAATTCGAAGAGGAACATTTTGGGACCATGACTCACCTCGGAGATTGGCATCAATCATGTCCGTTTGTAGCGGTAGTGTGCAGGACTGCGAACAGGGATCGATGGCCCATATGCAGGCCGTCATTACGAGCTACTTACCTTGAGAAACGAACCCAGAATAAGCGAGAGCGAACCGAGTTTTGAGGAGGGGGGTGCTGAGAGTGAAACTCACCTCGCTGTCCGTGCTCGCTATAGACGAGGTGTAGGTGGTTTCTCTCCAAGTATTCACTGGAGATGATAGGCCGTACTCATGCTGTTCATTTGAGCCCATGGCATTGGATATCGGGGACTATTGGAGCTAACGCGAACACATTTTCGGAACAGGATGCTACAGGCGAAAACTCACCATTGTGTTTCATCTCGTTCTCGCCGTTGAGTGGCCCGTTCCCTTCCAAAATTTTATTGTGACTCGTGCACCGGCGTCGTCCCGTCATTTCGAGCCCGCTACATTGAAAATGGAACAATAATTGAGCAAACGCGAAGACGTTTTTGAGAAGGGGTGCTAGGAGATAGAACCCACCAATATATTCTGCCTCGTTCTCAAGAATGAGTGGCCGGTGTCCCGCCAAACGTTTATTGGCGTTGATGGAGCTAAACCTTGCCGTAATTTCGAGCCCGCTACATTGAAAATCGAGAAGGAATTGAGCAAACGCGAACTGACTTTCGAGACAGGTATAAGGGAGATGAGAAAGTACTAACGTTATCGTCCTTGTTATCGACGATCGGTGGGCCTTTTCCTATTCAACCTTTATCTGGGTCAATACTCCTTGCCCGTCCCGTCATTTGGAGCCCGTAACGTTAGAAATCGAACCGATATTGAGCGAACGCGAACGTACTTTTGTGGATGAACTATGGGAAGCGGAAACTCACCGACATGTTTATCCCTGCCATGAACGTTTTGTGAACCGTTGTTGTTCAAGTCTTGATAGTGGTTGACTGAGCATGTTATTGTCGTTATTTTGAGCCCGCAACGTCTAAGATGGGGGGTGAAATGGGTGATCACGAACATATTCACGACGGGACGATCCCTGCAGACTCAAACTCTCCTACCTATTCCTTCTGTGTACTGCTAAAGATTAACCGATCGAGTTACTTGGATTCAGACAGTTGCCACAGATTATGGAGATAGAACACTTCCTCCCGTGATAGGGAACCCACAACGCGAGAGAACTGAACGAGCCCAGAGATACCCTAGGAATTTCACGGCCAGTAAACTCATCGTTTCCTTGGTGGCCAGCTAGCGAGCGTAGCACAGTCCGAGCACTAAGACCTAGGTCACTGAAAGAATTGATGAAGAGACAAACATACAGGCATACAGCGACACAGACAGCAGGACCAAGATAATCATACATTCATACACTCAGACGGATGAGATGCGTATCTGAACCCCTGCACTCACCATCGCGACAGCAGTGCGGAAGGTGGGGTTTGAAAAGAGAGGAGGGCGGGAGATACCGGTGACCGACAAGTCAAACCTAACGCCACAGCGTCCCATAGCGGAATGACTCAAGTGTGTTTTCTCCATAAAATTACCGTCTCTAGGAG